TTACCTTACCTGTTCTGTCATTAATTCCCACCTAATGGATTGTAGCTAGCCTTACCTTACTTGTTCTGTCATTAATTCCCACCTAATGGATTGTAGCTAAGCCTTACCTTACCAAATCCTTAGTTCACTTAATACCCAAGCTATGAGTCCTAATGTAACCACGTGGACCAGACTCACCATTTTTTTTTATTGAACACTGGTCTTTTCACTTAAACCCCATGATGACTATCAACAGCTGTCTTTCTAACATGTTTGGATCTTTTGAATCTATTTATTAACTTTTAGTCGAGAACTAAAGTGTAAGCCAGGAACAAAGAAAATATTTAACTGTGTTTTTCACACCAAGCTACAAATTGGGCTATCTGCACATTGTACAGCACGGATAATCTAACCGTGGATTTTTTTTTCCCAAAGCATATTTTTCTTACACCACAAATACAATATAACATTCAAAGATAGATTCTGATACCAACTCTAAGGTGAACTTGCATTATAACAATAACCGGCAAAACCAATATATGTACACTTGAGTTGACAAATAATAATACTTATTAAAAATAACTGGGTAGTTACTAAAGAGATACGGTTTACGTCAAATTACGCTACGTAATTCTCAGGATGATAGAAAATAGATTTGACATTCCTGACAAAACCAAATCAAAGTAGTAGTTAGTAATATTGAAAAGTTTTTTATGTTTCATAAAGTACGTGAAATGTTGAAGGGGAAGGTGGTTTCAAATAGGTTTCATTTCCACTTATTTAAAATCATCAGCATATATATATATATATATGTATATGAATTGCGCAAAAGAGTGTAGTATTCTCGCTGAAAATCTCAGCGGAAATTTTTAAATGTGCATACGGTTTCCAAAAGACAAATTTAACAGACGAACGATTTTCGTTCTTACTTGAGTTTATTGTTTACTGAGACAGTGAATGTTTAGGAATTGAAAACGGGTGTATTAATTTTCAAAGTTTTTCAGACTGATACATTTTTCTTTAGTTCAATCTAGAATTCGTTTATTTACTTGTTTGATTGGCTTGGTATACAATTATTTATATTCATGTTACCGACCGCTAGACTCGTACTTCAATTTTGTATTAATGACACGCAAAGTTGAGCGTGATTTAAATTTGAAGGTTCGAACAATTGATTTCTAGACATCGGTAAAGTAAACTAAAAACATATCCCTGCATAAAACCAATGTAGCTGACAATTCAGATTATCATGATAATGATATCCAACAGAGAACAGAGATTAACAGCTATCAACTCTGTGTAATTGTTTACAAAACCTCAAAGAAAGAAAAACTAAGAAAAAAAGGGAAAATCAAATCAAGGAATGCTATGTGCGTATGATTATATATGTTTGTAAAGAAGCTGGGATAACACAGTTTCCAATCGTTTTCATTAATATTTGTTTTTTGGCTTTCTATTCCGTAAAATTTAAAATTTTATATCATAAATACCGATACCCTTTCGCAAAACACGTGTTTGTTATAATCCATTTCAGCTAAGAGTTTTAGTATTGAACAAAATGCCACCTGGGACTGACTTGTGACAGACAAAAGATAGATCTGAAATGTTATTTTTCACACATACCTCTGGTTTAAAGTCCATTGTGGAAAATTAAAAAAAAAAAGATGTAATGAAAAATAGAAATCTTGATCTTAATCACAAATATTAGAGTAAGTCACTTGATATAAACTGGATAAAAAAATCTTTAGGAAAGAATCAGTCCTAAATGATAAATGAGAAACAAAGTCATGTACTCTTAGTTTGTATTTCAAAGGTGCAACTGAAGTTACGATGTTATCTCAATATTGTTTTTTTTCGATTTAAGATTAACCATTGCCTGTATTCATTCAAACTACACGCGAGTATTTATAAACCACCCTACAACTGTTTTTAATTTTGGAAAATTCTAATAAATTGTCGATATTTTTATAAGCTTTATTCTTATGATAACTTTTATACCTGCTCATCGGTCTTTGTCAATGTAGTTTCTCTGTTTAACAAGAGTAAAATTTGCATATTTAACATTGACTTCTTTGGTCTGTAGGGAGTTAACGTTGTGTAAAATATTTCTATCATTCCAACTGAAAACAAACATTGGTAGTTACCTGATTCCAAAGCAATTCCAGCCTATTTAAAACACTGATTACACAGCGTCACGTTTTCCTGCAACACATCTATTTTAAACACATGACTATTTCTTTAGCAAACTTGTTTGGTTAACTAAACTCTTCATCAAATCACTGTTTCCATGAAAACCCTGCTTCTACTGTCTATCTTATTTATAAACGTTGAAACAATATCATAACGTCACAGTATTTCTTTCTATTGTCTACAACGATTTTTACTTTATTATGTAAATTAATTTTATATATAGATAAATTTTAGATACGTACGTAACGTTAAACGTACATTTATTGTTTTAAAGAACAAGAACAAAATGACGTTGAACTTTATCCAATACGAATTTGAAGGATTAATAAACGACAAGTCGTAAAAGAACTATGATTGTTTAACATTGTTATCAAAGGAAGACGTTTTTGAACTTTCAGAAATGTTTGCAAAATAAACTTAATTGTTCACGAAAGAAAATAATTCACTTTGTCAGGCCAGAAGCGAATTTTTTGTTAGATGTAATAATGTTATGTATTTGTGTGTTTTGGATATAATAAAATACTAAGCTGTTTAAAGATTTCGCGTTTTTGTTCTATATAAACATAATTACAGCTTAATAAAACACAGTAGTCGAACAGTTAAAAAAACGCATACTCTGCCTGAAAATCATAATTTCTCGAACAGGAGTCAAAAACATGCGCCATCTGTCTTGCCAAATTACTTCTATTCTTCTTATATATATAATGTCAAACAACTCCGCTAACTGTGCTATAACACAGCGCTAGCTAGTAAAGTATAAGAAAGCAGGGATTTATAGACAGTACTGAACAAAGGATCTAGATTTTATCTATGGTGTCGTTTTTTTTATGTATCATCCTGATCGAGAGTACACTATCTCTGACAGTCTGGCTTGATAAGCAGGAGTCACCTCCATTCTGGATTTTGAATTATCACGTGGACAGCTGTCACGAGCAGCGGTTCTTAGTGTAATAGCGCCTCTTTGATATGACCGACGTAATCATATTGCATCAATATTATATACTTCTTACAAATGTATGTTTTTGGAGATATTTGCTACGAACTTTGAACTCGTACTCTCAACCTCAACGAATTATGTCTTCACGTATCATACAGATTACTGTCATTATGATAAAATCTCTTGCTAATCATTACTACATAATCTAAAAATACGTTTATATTGCGGAGCATGAAAAACAGAACTGTTGCAGCTAGAGTTTGTTTTAGCGCAATATCACAGAATAAAATATTTGCACTATGTCTGTTACGAGAATCGAGCTCCGAATTTTAGCATTATAAGTCGTGAAGCCTACCGCTGAGCCACCGTTTACGCATTTTTATACTGCTTCGATGGATGTGACTATAATGTAAAACACAATATCTGTAGTTGACAGACAGGCGCGGCTAGCATGTTGGACTGTGGGGCCGTGAGTGCATTATAAGATCGAAGGTAAAATCTCACTAATCGATTAAGATAGCTCAAGAGCTTAATGATAAAAACAAAACACGAACTTAATAAGAGAAAGCATTTATTAGACGTTTCGGAATCGTCATAATTCCATCATCAGTCATCTAGGGTTACAAAACAAACAAACAATATTTGTAATTACAACAGAAATATATACATAAGAAGTTAATAACTTGAAAATACAAATATAACACGAGAAAATGAAAATTGAGGCACAAGTGAAATAATTAAATGTTATTTAGGAACGGGAGAAGAGTTTTTATGTATAACGTTTCTTTTATAAGAAGTTCAGTATCATGTTTGGCTGTTGAAAGAATTTTAAAGTTGGAGAGAGAAATAGGATGTCGTGTTTCAGTATTATGTTGATAGATAGAAGAGTTAGGAGGGTTTGTAACCTTTCTTCCAGTTTTTATAGATATGCCCATGTGTTCACATGCTCGTACTTTAAGGTAAAGTTTGATTTTACCAATATAGGAGACCTTATAGTCTCCACTCGTGTACAAGTAGACGAGATGTGAACAATGGGCAGTCGGCAAACGATCTTTGTAGCGAAAAAAATGTTTTAGTCTAAACTTGGGTTTCATAATAACTTTCAGGTCAATTTGAGGATAGTAAGTGTTACATAACTTTTTCAACTATTTCGTGATAAGAAAGCTCTGTCTCCTGAGATATGGTAAGCAGGCTTATAAGAGAAGTTTAGGTACAGTGGGTATTTTAGGTGGTTTGACAAACAAATTAGTTATGAATGAGGAAGTTATTTTTTTCTAAGAAATACTTGGGTATCCGTTTAGAAAGAGAATGTTTTGTATAGAAGTAATTACAAGAGTTGCCCGTGGGTGCTGTTGACTGGCTGTCTTCTTTCTTCTAGTTTATCAGTTCAAAATTAGGGACAGCTATTGCAGATAGTCCTTGAGTCGCTTTTAGCAAATTTTTGAAACAAACGAATGATATTATGTATGTTTGGTTTTAACTATTTTTCAAAAATTTGAACTTTTTATTGATAAATCTTTTAACATTTCAGTGATTTCTTACATTTTTGACAAATGCTTGAGAGCAACGAAAATATGAAATTGTTAAAAAAAAAGATATCGAAAATGTTTTCTCTGTAGAGAATTACAATAACAAAAATGGACGATTATAGAATATTGAAATGATTATTTTTATTGCATATTATATATATTATGGTAATGTAAATTATTTTTGTACCTTGAGAACAAAATTGAATTCACAAGTGTATTTGATATCGTTGAAACTGGACAGTAAAAAAAAAAAATGTATGGAGAAAGGATGTGCATGAATTGAGTATATTTTGTTCAGGAAATATTGATATTCGTTGAAGAAAGTATATTTGTTTGACGAATCCGTTATTAATTTTCCATTTTAGGCGCCTTTTTAATACCGTACCTTCTGACGTTGTTCTTTGCCGGAATCCCTACGTTTTTCTTGGAAACTTCGCTCGGTCAGTTCCTGGGTGTGGGGGGTTTGGGAGTGTGGAAAATATGTCCAATATTCAAAGGTAATTACATCACGTCTTTGTCCAAAATACGAATAGTCTAGAAGTAAGTATCCTAGCAACTGAATATGCAAACATGTGTAAAGTGATGTAAATATTTTTAAAACGTATATATACATATTAATAATCGTAAAGATAAAAAAATAAGATATTTGGAATGGGTTTTTATTCGAATATCACTTTAATCTTTCTGTTCCTAACCTTTCTTAAGTAAACTAGTGTTAAGATAATCCTTCTTATGAAGAAACTAGTGACAAGATGATTCTTTTTATGTAGAAATTAGTTTTAAGGTGATCCTTTTTTAAATCGAAACTAGTTTTAAAATGTCGAAGTAGAGCAGTTGGCTCGCTCTCGGAAGTTAAAAAATGTCTTATACTTCTATGATTATTAAGAATATTTTACATAAACATAAAACTTAAAATATATGAATAATGAGGTTCAATATTTCCAAGAAAGTAGTTTAAAATGTATCCGAAATAGCAAAGAAACGCGTACATATAGAGCTTATGCAACGTAGGAAATAAACCTGTGATATCTATATGTGTTTAATCACATTTTTTTGCTTGACGTTACTGTTTTGAGGCGTTAGCAAAGTGATGTAAATGTTTAAAATTAAAAGTCTGAAGTAATTAAAACAGAAACTGACGTCTCTCAAGGGAAAGCACTTTTTGAAGTAATTTCTAAATACATGTTATTATTATTCAGAGCATTAAATGTCCTAAAGAAAATATATTTGACGGAGCTTTTAATTTATTTTGCTAAAAATTAAAAATATTTTAGCTTCAGACGTATGTTCAGATAGTTGCGATAAAGTGCTTTTATTTGGTATTTCGCGGATTTCGTAGTTTACTCTGGATTTACAACTGTTCACATATGCTTTTCTGAATCTCTAAATACCATTTTACGTTTACAAACAAATATTTGAAAATAGAATGGGAATTTTGATACACATTTTACTGTTTGATTTATGAACAGAGGTCACAACAGAACCTTAATGTTTAATTTATTAACACAGGTTACAATAGAATCTTACTGTTTAATTTACGAACACGGGTCACAATAGAATCTTACTGTTTAATTTACGAACACAGGTTACAATAGAATCTTACTGTTTAATTTACGAACAAAGGTCACAATAGAACCTTAATGTTTAATTTATTAACACAGGTTACAATATAGTCTTACTGTTTAATTTACGAACATTGGTGACAATAGAACCTTACTGTTTAATCTATGAACACGGGTCACAATAGAATCTTACTGTTTAATTTACGAACAGAGGTCACAATAGAACCTTACTGTTTAATTTACGAACAGACGTTACAATAGAATCTTACTGTTTAATTTACGAACAGAGGTTACAATAGAATCTTACTGTTTAATTTACGAACACAGGTTACAATAGAATCTTACTGTTTAATTTATAAACACGGGTCACAATAGAATCTTACTGTTTAATTTACGAACATTGGTGACAATAGAACCTTACTGCTTAATCTATGAACACGGGTCACAAATGAATCTTACTGTTTAATTTACGAACACAGGTTACAATAGAATCTTACTGTTTAATTTACGAACACAGGTTACAATAGAATCTTACTGTTTAATTTACGAACAGAGGTCACAATAGAACCTTACTGTTTAATTTACGAACAGAGGTTACAATAGAATCTTACTGTTTAATTTACGAACACAGGTTACAATAGAATCTTACTGTTTAATTTACGAACATTGGTGACAATAGAACCTTACTGTTTAATCTATGAACACGGGTCACAATAGAGTCTTACTGTTTAATTTACGAATACAGGTCATAATAGAACCTCTTTTTGTTCATATCGTGGTGTTTAACACTATAAACTCCCTTTCAAATGTCCATCATGTGCATGGTACTTAACGCTAGAGCTAGAAAACCCTAAATGTTCATCTCGTGGTATTTAACACTACAAATTTGGAAATGGCGACCTTGTGCATGGTACTAGAAACCTCTAAGCGTTCCCCTCGGGGTGTTAGATACTTCCAAGTGTTCACCTCTTAGTTCGTAAAATTAGAAACTTAAATGTCCATCTCATGGTATGTAGCACTAGAAACCTCAAACGCTCATTTGACAGTTCTAACATCAGAAATTCACATATAGTCACTTTGTGATATTAATAACTGATTCTTGAAAGCACTTAGTTCAAGAATTAATATTAATTTTAAAGTTTTATGTCATCAATGTTTGTCACAAGCTATTTCATCTTATTTTCATGTTTTATCATGTGTAACATAAAATAAAAACGGTTTAAATATGCTAATTGTTTGCTTAAGACTGATTCTGTGGTATTCAACATTGTTGACGCTTATCCATTTATGCTTGAAATTATAGAAACTACCGAATTATCTTTTGTACCCTGATCAGAGTTAGATAACAATCTAGCAGACAAAGCTGCTTAAATGTATGACCAACCCCACACTTTTTAAGAACAACTGATTAGTAGTTGCATATAGTTGTTTAATAAGTACATTGATTTCAAAAACTAACAAACTCAACTTTTCATTCTTAAAAAAACTTCTCTAAGAAAACTTTTTTTAAAAGAATTTTATCTGCTGGTTTAGTATAACATTATTCTATAATTCTGCACATGACAATCACCGTTTCATATGATCGATTTCATTTTCTGACATTAACACTTTTTGACATCCTCTAGTTATTATAGAAGCTCCAATTTTCTTTGACTCATTCTTGTCAAGTTTTAAAACGGCAGTTACACGTATATTAGCATCGTCAATTATGAGTGATATTCTCACTCCTACCACCCTTTGAATCTTAGTGGCTGGTGTCAATTGTTTATTTTTTATTTTTCGTCCAATTACAGTTTAGGATGACATGCACGCAACGCTTCCTTCATACAAAAATGTATAATGGGGATATAAATGTACAACCCCGGCAGTTAATATACTAAGGGTTGAGTACTTTATATTAAAACTATTTTGAACATGTAAATAAGCAATTCAGATCACAATCATAGCTAATATAAGGTCGCTGTGAAAAACATGTATTATAGAACTACATCTTGATATTGTTTGGCGATACGTAAGTAGGTGAGGCCATCAAAATATGATCACTTTTGGGAAGTGTATGTAACAATCCTTTATGACGCAAAATAATCATACACTTAGATCATCAAATTTGTTCAGATTGGGGATTTATCATTTTCTTGTACTTAATGACAATGGAAGACAAAATAATGTGAATCAACCAGAAAGAAACCCGCAACAAGTTGTGTCCCAACCGTGGCAAGCAAAGTACGTCGTCTTGTCAGTGGCGAAAGCAGTTCACATGTTCCAGAAAACAGTACACAACATAATCAAGAAGAAAACGAGACCAACAAAGTATGGTTACCAAAATAAGTCTTCCAGTCATACATCCCATTCAATCGTAGCATACCTCAAGCAGCTGGAGAATAAAACGGGAATTCATGCTACTCGATGTGAAGACATATCTGTCAAGTCGCTGAGAAACCGTCGTCCTCACACACTTGATAGATTATGAAAGCAATCAGGGAAGTGTAGTGAGTTTTGACATTACAGCCCTACGACGAAATCTTTTGCAATGGAAAATACACTACAGAACATTTGTCAAGATATACAGTCGTCAGATAAAGATGACCAGACATGGACAGTAACGACACAGGTGAGGCTTCAACTTCGCTTTAACATAACGTACTCAAACTCTTTATATGAGTTTTCAATCGAACCTTTCATTGAACCTTTAAAATTTATCATGTTATATAAGTTTTCGCCCCATAATATGTAAACCAGCTGATTTCTTTAGAGTATTTGTTCAAGCAATGGCTAGCTGGGGCTGAAGGAAGTATAATAGACGAACTGTTACGTTACTAAGAGATGCAAGATAAAAATGAGATTAAGGAATCTTAAAATCCTAATACTTTCCAGTGCAAAATAAAAATCATCTTGAAAATATTCTTTATTTTGAAACACTATAGGTGTGGGTTACGCCGCAGCTGTCATGGCCTTTTGGTTAAATTGTTACTACATAGTAGTCTTGGCATGGGCCATTTATTACGTCGTATCTTCCCTCGACGTGGACATCCCTTGGCGGACTTGTGACAATTGGTGGAATTCGATATTCTGCAGGTCAGAGTACGAAGAGGGAGGGCTTCCCAACTGCACCGGTAATGCAGAGATGGACCCTCCAATATGTGCTTATAACCTTTCGGACCATACAATCTTCAGAAGTACAGTGAAGGAGTATTGGGAGTAAGTATTATTACATGTTGAACACTGCACTCGGGTAAGCGTTTTAAGAACATTGTCAGTAGTGTATTTTGAAATGTTAGAAATGTGTGTTAAAAATGATTTAAAAAATTGAGTTTGATTCTGATATGAGCTTTAAAATGTTTTATATTTGGTTTGCATCATTTTCTTTCTTTTAAAGTAAAACAAAATTCCAAGTTATTCTAACTATTACAACAGTAATGAGATTGTTAATACCAAAATTGATAACTATGTCGAATGCGTATCACACATTTTGAATAAACATCCTAAAACAAGGCTATGAAAAATATCAAGATTATTTAGGGTACTAAGAGGACCTGTCATGCTTAGCTTATATTATTTAAGTAAATGCGTTTAAGTAAGAAAAATTTGCTTTTGTTAGAATAGTTCGTCTCAAAATATACAGTAAGTATGTGGCTCATTTGAACTAGAGTAAAAACTATAAATTCGAACTTTCGACAATAGTGCAGAAATTTGTGCTGTTAATAGCCCAAAGTTCACATTTCTGCTACTTTAAAAGTACATTAAAGCTTTACTTTTAATTCTTGTGGGATTGACAAAAACGTTTGCTTTTGTTGGAATAGCCGGATAAAGAAGCGAACAGTAAATATAGCATTTTTTTTTAATTGAAGTAAAAAATAAAAAAATCCGAAATTTCGACAGTGATGAAGAAATTAAATACCTTTGTGTTACTAATAACTCGAAGTTCACACCACTATTACGTTAAGTGCTCAGTAAAAATATTTTGTTTAAGTTTGTTTTTAAAACTGACAATGACCCATAGAGTTCTCAAGAGATCCATCACTTAAAATAAGAGCTCATTGAAATTTACTTTGTGAATCCTTCAGTTCTAGAGGTGGTATGATGGTGAAAGATGCTACTGTATATTCCCGGTTTTGTGAATCCTTCAGTTCTAGAGGTGCTATAATGGTGAAAGATGCTACTGTATATTCCCGGTTTTGTGATTCCTTCAGTTCTAGAGGTGGTATAATGGTGAAAGATGCTACTGTATATTCCCGGTTTTGAGAATCCTTCAGTTTTAGAGGTGCTATAATGGTGAAAGATGCTACTGTATATTCCCGGTTTTGAGAATCTTTCAGTTTTAGAGGTGGTATAATGGTGAAAGATGCTACAGTATATTTCCAAGAGATGCAAATATCTTTAATATGTTAACAGGTGTAGACTGTGTAATTACTTTTGCCACAACTTGAATAGTTGGATGACAAAAAACTAGCTAAGATTGATAAATTTAACATAAATGTCATAACTGATCCGGCAAATATTCAATCTTGTGTCTGGGAGCATAAACATAACTTACAATTTACATATTTTTGAAATCTGAAACACTGACTCGTCTATAGCTTATCTTCATCTGTTTGTAAACGTTTCTTCCATATAATTTTGAACTGTGGAAGTTTTTGTTAATCAATGATATTTGGAAAGCTTGGCATTTATGTTTCTTCTTGAATAAATGCAAGCCAAGGCAACTATCTATGGCTAGAACAGTAGCAAGCTATATATTTCCTTAGATTTTAAATCATCTGTTAAGTTTAATGATTAAACAAAACATTTGAATGAAACCCATCCCCGAATTAAAACAGATAATTTACCCCAAAATAGTCACAATTTTTTCAAAATGTTCATTTTCTTTGTTTTATAACTTTTGAACGATCACTTCTTTGAAATAAATTTACACAAAAACAGTAATTTAACTTTCTAAGCCTTAAGAGTATCCGAACACTATAACAGAAACAATCTATCTACCGACAAAACTCTCAAGTTTATTATAAACCTCTTAACGTCGCAGAGATTATCTTAGAATTTAATGATTTTTTTCTAACATTGTTCATGTTTTATACCTTCTGTCGTCCACATCGAAAAATTTATTTGTAGAATGTAACAAAAGGCTTTCCTAAAGTTACACTTTAAAAAACAACGCATTTTGGTCCGATTTTATAATTTGAAACAGGAAGCTATTTTCAACGTAATAATGACTTTCTACTGTATCGCAGTGAAAATCAGGAAAAAAGATCAAGAAGATAAAGTATGAAGTATTAGGTTGTCAATAAATTAATGCCGCTTTGTTTTTATGAAAAAATCAGAACAATTTATATATCAAAACAAAACATTTATTATACGAAATAGTCTTCAATCTTATTGATGATGCTTTTCCATCTTACAATCAGGCTGTTAATGCCATGATTAAAGAAATCATTTGGCTTTGAAGCAAAAAACATGTCAATATCTTCTTTAACACCATCCACATTTGCATGCGTTTTCCCATTAAGATGGTGTTGCAGCGAACGCAAATGGTGGTAATCTGATGGTTCCATATCTGGAGAATATGGTTGGTGGGGGACAACTTCCAAACCCAACTCCATAATCTTGTGTTGCGTCAGACGTGTCTGGGACTGAGCCAATTTTTTTGGCGTTTAATATTCGCATAGAGAATCCATTTTTCATCACCGGTGACAATTTTGTCCAAAAATGGTTACGCGCATTATGAGTCAAAAGAGACCTTCACACGTTGGAAACGATTATCATCGGAGAGTTAGTGAGGCACCCAAAAACCTTCTTTATGGAGTTTCCCATACTCCTTAGATGTTTACACATTGTTTCATGACAGAAATGCGATTTCGGGGCCATTTTACGAGTGTGTTGCCTTGGGTTAGACTCAACAAGCGTCTTCAGAGCATCAATATCAACTCCAACATGTCGGCCATCACAGTGTTTAAGGCTAAAGTCACCTGAACGAAATTTGCTGAACTATCGTTGACACTTACGAACGTTCAAAACATTTCCATAAACTTATTTGATATTCTTTGTGGCTACAGAGGCGTTGTTTCCCTTCTTGTATTCAAACAACGTTACTTTCCGAATGTGTGGCCCGTCGTGTGCCATCACTATAAGGGATTAGAGTATACTAAACTTTAAACATTATATAGGCTACATAATGTGACGTTTAAGCGGTCCGTTTAACTATTATACGTGATGGAAGTGTTCCAAAACGCGACATTAATTTCTTGACGACCTAATAGAAAGTTCATCACACATAATTTTGGTACCAAAAAGAAACTCAATGGAACAGCGGTAAGTCTATGGACATACAACGCAAAAAACTGGGGCTCGATTCCCTGTGGTGGACACAGCAGATAACTTAATTAACGCAGTTTTGTTGTAGAAAACAAGCAGGGGAAAATAAAGAAAAGATTATTTTAAGTGTTTCGGACGAAAAAACAAACAAACAAATCGGTAGCTTAACTGGTTTGACGACACCTGAAAAGGGTCAAAAGCTAGCTCTAATAGTAATAGTAATAATCTGGTTGCATGATATCAACGCGGTATATATTTGTTTTATTTTATTAAAATAATTTTTGAATTCTGAATAAATCAAATTATAATAAATTAGTTTTCTATTTAAATCTAAAGCTACACAATGGACTATTAGTGCCCTGCCCATTGCGGGTATCGAAACCCGATGTTAGCGGTATAATCCTTTAGACTTACCGTTGATCCAACGGAGGGCACCTATTATATAAAATACTTTGTTAACGAAATTACTTGTTCATCAAATCACAAATATCAATACGTAAAATAATAAAAGTTATAATTATTTTCAGACACAATGTGTTGCAGATTTCTAATGGGTTAAACGAACCTGGTGAAATTCGGTGGCAACTGGCAATAACCCTGGCTGTAGCTTGGATCCTCTGCTATTTTTGTATTTGGAAGGGAGTAAAGTGGACCGGTAAAGTAAGTAATAATGAAAGTTATATAGGATTAACTTAATCCTATACCTATTCCTTGTTTTGCCATAGGAACTACAAGTATAACGTTCGTTTCCTTCACGCATGTTTAGCCAATCTTGCCCAGGACGGATCAATCACATGAATATTTTTTTTAGATTTATTTTTGGTAGATTATAATGACCTACAACGTTACCTAATTTTTATTTGCCCATATAGTACAGTGTAAAAACCGAAACATTTCAATCCAACTTATTTAACTCTGATATATTAAAAGCTCAATAAATGCTTTTAATAATAATTTTACTACATCTAATGCTATATGTTAATATTAGAGAAGAAACGTCTGAATCATGTATCAATAATAGAACGACAAGGCTTATGTGTGTGTGTGTGTGTATTCTATTAATTAATTTCTTTTTTGTTCACCAGGTGGTGTACTTCACGGCTTTGTTCCCATATGTTTTACTCTTTATTTTACTGATTCGAGGACTGACGCTACCTGGCTCGAGTGAAGGAATCAAATTTTATGTCATGCCAAAGATGGATAAATTATTGGATTCAAGTGTACGTATTCTTCAGTTTGTTTCGTTTTAACCATAGTAAAGTTTACAACTTCTAAACAAATATCTTAGAATTTGCCAATAGCAAGAATTTACTGATTTATTGCTTGTTACGGATTTTATTTAGATTTAGTAAGCACTAAAGTAATTGCGTGCGTGATTATTATTTCCCAAAGGGGGCCGAAGGCCGCCTGAAGGAGTTATCTGTTTTAACCACTCGCACCACGATACAGTAGTGTGTGGTCTGTCAGTCAGTCAGTAGATACTAAAATGACGTCAAATAAGGGACACGTAACGCCATAATAATTTGTACTACCATAATGTCAATAAAACGTGCGCATGCCATGAAGCACGAGAAGAATTATGCACTCTATAGGCTATAACACAGCATGATATATGAACTTGAAAAGTAAAAAATATAGATATTTGTTACTCTTAATTTAGGTTTTATTTATTCTTGAAACGGAACACTTTCGAGAATCTTGCGAAAGTACATCTAGTTTTAGATTATATGAAATAGCTATAATACATGAGTGAAGAGTTTTGCAAGTTAACAAAACCGATCATAAACTAAAAAACGCACTAAACTCCTTAAATGTGATAATAAACGACCACTTACCTCAAGTAACTTTGTTTCCATAACTCTTTTCGACTTAGCCTTCATCAGGGGCACCAAAACAGAAATAAAAACTGTTATGGATTATACGTAGTAAGAAAATTTTAATCCTGATTTTATAAAAATTTTCCTCGAGCGGGGCAAAGGGGGGGGGGATACTAATATCCCTGAACACCCCAGTTTAGGAAAGTGTCATTCCTTTAAATGCTAAATCCCTGCCACGAAGTTTTCTTTCTTTCGCGCTAAAACGTCCCGAAGAAGGTAATGCTTCCTGCTGGCTCAGCGGTAAGTCTTAAGGCTTATATAAGTATGAGTCCAGAGTTCGCATTGTGTTGACTGCATCCACACTCGCCCACTCCTGAGTTTAACAGTGGTCCTAAGTCATGTTAGTTTTGGATGGATTCACCGTGGTGGTTGTTCGGTGCAGGTATCACGAGAACAGAATTCGCTTTGTGTTAATGGTGTCCACCAACGTCCACTCCTGCGGTTAACAGTGATCTTAACTCAAGTTAGTCTTGGATGGATTCGCCAGAGTTATTGATCAATGCAGAATTCGCCTTGTGTTGCTGTTTACAACGAAACTAGCCATAGTCAGAAATAGACGACTTCACGTGCCGCCTTTTATTTGTTGTTTCTGTCGTAATGTTGAAATAAAGTATTGTTATTATTGTTTAAAAATGAAACAATTGTATCTCTTTGTTACAACAACAATTGTTATGGTGTGAATGCCTTTTTTGAAGCTGGCGAGGCATAATTATGATTAATTATACTTGTTATAAGACTTTAGTGTTTGGTTATTATATTTTTAACTCTATGTTCTTTATTTAGTCGGGCCCGGCATGGCCAGGTGGTTAGGGAGCTCGACTCGCAATATGCGGGTCGCGGGTTCGAATCCCCGTCACACCAAACATGCTCGCCCTTTCAGCCGTGGGGGCGTTATAATGTGACGGTCAATCCCAC